GTGCATGCACGTGTGCCAGAATGTTTGTGCTCAGCATGGTATAGATGTGCCTATCTGTCAATCTGCCCATGTATGTATCGATCTATCTATCTACATTTCTCTCCGTCTGCCTATCTATCTACAAGCTACCCATGCACGTACGTATGTATGTACGCTAGTACGTGCGTGTGCATGCAATGACGTGTGTGTGTGTGTGTTCATACGCATGATGGCCTAAACCTAGTTCAGGACCTATGTCTGTATGTATGCATGCATGCTCGTATGTATGCAATGTGTGTGTATAAGTCTACCTAGGTACAGTAGACCTACCCGATCTACCCATACACTCGGACACCAACTGCGCCTGCGCATGTATGCTCGCAGTCAGTGGCATGCAAGCAAGCACGTGCATGCACATACCCAATCACATACGAGATCCGCCACCCGTACTTCGACTAGATGTTCATACTTCTTGGGCCCGATATACGGGCCTGAAGTTGTCTTTGTTCTAGTCTGCTCATGCTCGAAAGCTGACAGTGGCTGTGAGGAGCGGGCCTTCGTGTTGGCTCCAAACTCGTTCCCCAGGCCATGCACATCGTCATCGTTGCGATTCGATGGGCTCGCCTGAATGTAAGGTTGGGGCAAGGGCCTTCTGCGCTTTTGTTCGTCTTGCGAGCGATCCAAAACAATCTGTTTACACCGAACTGACCCCGCGCCCTATGCTACAATGGCATGCTCTGCCGAACTCCACACCGAAACTTACAAACCTGCAGCCCCGAAACCCTAAACTAATAGCAGAAGCCCCTAAAGTAGGCCTTTGGAAGGAGGCCATTGTAGTGAGAGCCATCCTCCAGGGCAATGCGTGCACCTGCAGTGCATCACATCCAGCCGAAAGAAACCCAACCCCAAGGCCGTATACAACCCAAAGCCTTAATTCCAAAAGCCCATACCCCAAAGCCTCAAACCTTCACATCTCAAGCCCTCAATTCTAGACTTTTCAACCACACATCCACCGTCTTATGAACCCTATCGCACCAAACCTTTGATGTGCATGGCTCATGGTGGTGGCCACGATGCATCGGGAACCCCGAACTACTTAAAGGATCATGGGACTTAGTAAGTAGGGTTATAATTAGGGTAACTATACTTATAACCCCAATTAAGGGACTTGTAACCTTACTTACCAAGTCCCATGATCCTCCAAGTACCCACCCTCTTCGACAACAAGGGATTCGCTTATGGGCCGGGCTTTGTTGACCTGCTTTTTGCAAGAGCCTGCTCTGCCATGCAGACTCTGTTCAACCATGGGTTTAGGGTTTAGGGTATAGGGTTTAGGGTATAGGGTTTAGGGTTAAGGTTTTAGGGAATGAATGATTCTTGGGAGAGTCGGACACTCAGGATCTAAAATTAGGCCTTACTCTCACTGTGCTGCACGCCACCCGTCATCATTCCACATCCAAGGTAACTTGTAGCATGACATTGCGGGTAACATCTCAACTCCAAAACTCACATCATGCCTCCTTGTCTTGTCTTCCAACACCTACGTACTCTAGGGGTTACTATTTTTTGCGATTTCCAAATTATAGCTACAGTGTAATGGGCCCCAAAACCCTATTCTAATTCTTAAGGCTCCTAGATTCCTCCGCCAAGGCGCCGTTGTTGGAATACCACCAGTTGACCATTAATCGACCCTTGGTGGCGAAGATCGGATCCGTGTTGCTGCCGCTCATGCTAGGCTTCATGTACCTGGTCTGGATTTACATAGGGGCCTTAATAATTAGAATAGAGTTTTGGGGCCCAATA